GGGTACACAGATTCGGTCAACATCTGCTCGTGGGTGTAATAGTTCATGCATGGTTGATAGTTTTCTAGTTTTTGTATCTAGTTTTCTTATATCTTCTTTTGTCCATTTGACTATACCTATACTGTAAAGGTCAATCGGAACAGGTAGATTGTGATATTGCTAAGCCTTAATTTTTTGAGTTAAGCTGTGACCTCAGTATTGCCATTGTACTTCTGTAATATTCCTTTCTAATGTACTCTTTCATATATTCATTCTGTATGTCATCACCTTCATTTATACCTAAGTATTTATACGCCTCAACGTTGTCTAGTTCCTTTATACTCGTATATGTGTCCTCATTTAGTATAACGATAACGTTTTCAGTTTTACGAAGTTTGCCTCCGATAAACGTAACTTTGGAGTACTTTTCAAGACCAAACTGCATCTTAATGTCGTCGCTAAATGATTTCAGTAAGTCTATTTGTTTTATGAGCTCGGCATCGTCTTTTGCAATAAGTTTGACTTATAACATATAGTTGACTTGAATATCATTTTTGTTGACTGTATTCGGTATTTGAAGAATTCAGTAAAGTTGTTAGTGGTATGAGTGACACACAGAATAGCAAAGGAGACAAGGAGTCACCTTGGAGGATTCCATTTTTGATGCTGATGTTTTTAACTTCTACATTGACGTGTTGCTTCTCAGTGTCAGGTCGATATTCGGCATCTTCATGGATCTTTTTATGAAATCAACTAGTATACTCGAAACGCCGTATACAATGAATATTATATATACTATCAAATGTCTTTTGATAACCTATCCAGCAAATGCTCATGCTTTTCTTCTTCTACTTACAATCTTCAATTAGGGACTTACTCGACATAAGGTGATCTTTGGTTCCATATGAATTTCTAGCGCACCCCTTTTGTTCTTGAGGATGTAGATTGTTATTCGTTAGGTGCGTTTGTATTCTGTCTGATGCTATGCTGGTCAGTTTTTTGTATGTTGTTGTCAGGCATGTAGTGGGTCTGTAATTTGTGGCTTGACTCGTGTCGCTATTTTTTTGAATTAAGTACGTACAGCCTTTGGTTAACCATGGAGAAATATCCTCTGCATTACGTTACTACTATTATTATTACTATTATTATTATCAATGCTATCAGGTCATTAGAAATATAACGACATCACGTGGCCAAACCATGGGGTCATCAGTTGCCACTGCTGTCATTGTACAGGATGTTGATAAAGTAGCTGGTCAAGCTTCAGAAGGCGATTGATTCCTTTAATAATTCCAAGAAAAAAGGTTCATATAAAATATCAAGATACAGAATGTTACAGATTTTGCAAATTTCTACGCCAATGACAATTATACAAAAACATTGAATAAATAATTCTGTGGTGAGATAGAGCTCTCCTAAGCTTTACTACTTCTACTAATCTCGCTATTTAGACCAGATTTTCTCGAAAGGCTTAGGTCTTTGAAAAACTTCTCATGTAGGTGTTTCAAATAAGTCTGCAGTGGAGAAAATTTATTCTTTTTACTTCTATGCCATTTGTAAGCAAGGATTAACAAAAATTTGAAAATGAGATATTATGTTTTTGGATGTTATGTGACATGTCATTTGTTTGTCTGGGCGATCCGTAGGACCTTTGCCCATTAGTCAGTGTCTAATAAAATGTCAAGGCAAAAGAGAAAGGGAAAGAGAAGAAAAATGGAGAAGAGCAAAGAACAACAGAAGTGTTTAGTTTAAGAGGAGATACCTAGGATTTTTGACTTGGTACACGGATCAATTTCGCGCTATCTTTCCATTACAGTGCGAGCCATGGCCTTGAGTGTTTACGAACTTGCTCCACTGTGTAGTCTACTGAGTCGCGCAATAGAGGGTTGCTGTGCGATTCCGCTTGACTATAAGGTCGCTGCGCCTGAAGTTTGACATAATCCCTCAAGTAAGGAATGTCAAGGTCTCTGTGTAGTGCCTCGTTTGTGACATACCATGGAGCGTTGCAAATTGGTCGCAAAGTTCTCCTTTGCAGTACTTGAAGACTTTGCATATGTGTCTTGGCAAGAAAGCACCAAGCCGCACTTGCATAAGTAATGGCTGGTCTAATAATCATTTTACATACGCGAACTTTGTTTATCAAACTCAATTTGGAGGATTTACATAACAAAGGATATAGTTGCCGAAACGCAATTTGGAATTTTGTTTTCAAGGCTGCTGTATGTTTCTGCCAGGTCATGCCTTTATCAAGGGTGACACCGAGGTACTTGGCAGCATTTATCCATGGTACACGATTGTCGTCTACAGAGACATCTGCTGGGGGGGCGCGACGTTCTTTGGTACAATAAATAGCCTGCGTTTTCGAATGGTTAATTTTAATCAGCCACCGTGCGGCCCACTCTAGTACTTCTTCCACCGCACCCTGCAACCCGTCGTGAACCAGATCACCAGTACATGACTGGGCGACAAGTGCAGTGTCGTCAGCATAGAGGTAGACTTCACAGTTGCTGAAGCAAGGGACATCATGGATAAAAAGCGAATAAGGGATTGGTCCTAGGACCGAACCCCGAGGAACACCGGCCCGTACTGGCCGTGTTGTTGACAAAACATTGTTAATTTTGCTCCGAACCTTCCTTTGTTCAAGAAAGGATTTCAGTAATTTTAGAAGTCATAAAGGAAAAACCTTTTGGATTAGTTTATAAAGGAGGGCCCGCGTGCCACACCATGTCAAAGGCTTTTGAGACATCCAAAAGCAAGAATCCAGTACTCATGCTGAGGGTGAACCCTCTGGTTACATGCTCCACCAGCCTGACTACCTGTAGCTCGGTGCTATACTCGGACCGAAAACCGAATTGAACGTCAGGAATCACATGGTGATTTGACGAAAAGTTCTCAAGGTGACCATAAATTACCTTTCCGGCGAGCTTAGAAGGAGCTGACTTGTGGGATAATAATCCTGAGGAAATATCGAACCCACCTTCTTTGGAATCATGATGACCTCAGCAGTCTTCTACCCAGCAGGGAAATACTGGATTCTGAGCGTCGCATTGATTATTATCACCAAATATGTCAGGGCTTTCGACGAGAGCAGCTTCAACGCCTTGTTGGTGATTTGATCCTCCACAGGTGCTTTACGCACCTTGAGGTCTTTAATATGACTTAGAAGCTCCGCTAGTGTGCAATGTGGAAACTCGGAAGGTTCCGCTAATGTGCTATGTGGAGCCTCAGACGAATCTTCTGAAGAAGAGTGATCTGAAGAGGATTCAGTGCCTCCACTAACGCCGTTGGCCCGAAGATATATCCTGGCGCATCGTACGACGTGCTGTTCCTCGTCGAGGTCATTATCAAGATCATAGTTGGGATAGAACTGTTTTTCCATGGCATCAGCAGAAACCTCGACCTTATCCTCCGTTTTGAAGACTATGCCTTCAGGACCGTGGATATGGGGGAGTTGTTCTCGCTTTCCGTTTCTGAGTGACTTTTCGACCCTCCAGAGAGGAATACTTGAATCAAGCATTCCCGCCCGAAAGTCGCTCCATTGCTCGTTGCGGAATTCGTGCAGTGCGTTTCTCACTTCATGGAAAAGATTTGTAGCCCTACGAATGTCATCAGGATGAATGAAAAATCAGGTCACTCATTTCCGTCGGGCCTTCTGTCCGCTAATTCGTCTATAACTAGGAAAGTACCTCTCTGATCATAGTAAAACTTTCACTCAAGGTTACCACTATGCCAAGGACAAAAAAAAAGTACAGTGGCAGAGCAGCTTCAGACTAAAAACGAAAAAAAAAGTAAAATAAAAACTTTGTTGACTTTTCAGTGGATCTAGATCATTTTCAACAAAAAAATTGCACGGGTTAAAAATTGGATGTTGGGGTTTTCATGGGGTCAGATGGAGTCGAGATAACACATGTCAATTTTCTGGTGCTAGCAATATATACGATTCCAACCCCACTAAATCCACACACCTATTTGACATTATTATGTATCATAGATTTCCCCGTACATTCGCCGTTAAACCTTAGATGATATATATTATCAATATACGCGCGATGCGAACAACTCAAAATGAGCGTACGTCAGAGTAGTCACGTTGCTAAGTGATCGGTACTGTCGGTAGGGTGGTGGGGTAGATCGCAATGTTGTCAAATTTGTAAGGCCTATTGACTAATTGTATGAGCCTATTTGACAGACATGATCCTTGTAGGTCCTTTGTCTTACATGTTCGTAGCCAACTTTTTTCTAAGGATAACTAATTTGAAGAGTGGACATATTTAATGTTAGTCTATCTTTTGCAGGGATCAAAATGTCCCAGTCTTTACCTCACTAATGCAGTTTGAGCAATGATGATGTAATTCGAGGGATATAATTTTTTTATCGGCTGCAAAATTGTAACTGTAACATGCTACATCCTAGTAAGGGTGCAATTGAGGAATCATAGGGAATCCAATTTCTCATGAAAATCACTGAAGGAATTTGATCTGATACATCTTCTAAACGTGAGACGTCCTCCTAACGTCATTTCATATACATATGCATATACACCACGTAAGGCCGTATCGTTAGTCGTTCCTACAATTGTAGGACGCCTTTACGGCATCCTTGATTTTCATAGTATTTTCTCTCCTTCAGAAACGCTGGGGTATTCCTAGATTTCTACTGCTCTGAGTCGGCGTCAGCGCTCTCCTACTATGAGATTAGGCTTCCTTTTTGACATGTAAGAAATTTCAGGCTGATAAAAGAGAATACAAATCAAAAGCATGAACAATTTGATGCAACAAGATATTTGTAACATAACCTCAAAATAGAGCCCTGAGACGGAAAAGTAGGAATCTAGAAATACCCCTGCCTTTCTGAAGGACAAAAAAGACTATGAAAATCAAGGAGGCCATAAAGACGCCCCACAATTGTAACCACACTGACGATACAGCCCTTAGCATCTCTCCAGGCATAATTTTTTGTGCATCTAGGATCAATGAACGAACGGCTATAAATTTTTGCTGATATGGTAGAATTAATATTACCTTTTAAGCGTAACTAATGTTCCAGTAAGTTTTTTACACCTCCTCAATGCGCTTTCCAGCCTTTCTGGCTCCTCCTTCAGGAATTTCTCTTCTCGCATCATCTTCTCCATTTCTGTGTTGAGAAAAGATTTCATACTATCTTGTAGGCCAGGAAATCTATAAAAAAAAAGAAAAGCTATAAACACGCAGTACACTCTACAGCAGTAGAGTTTAAGTGCCTCTTCTTTCTTTAGCGTTGTTCGATGAACATTTTATGTTCAATTTTTATTACCGCTTCTATGCGCGGTAGCAGTGATGGGCACTTATGCGTGTACTTTAGTTGTCTACGTTTCGATTTAGACAATCTGTACACAATATATACGGTGAGGTTCAAATTTGGCTGACGTCGTAATGTGTACGAGATAGAAGCACGAAAAGCGTCCAATATACAGGGTTTAAAGTTAGTAATGGATCAACGAAAGTCAGGTGATCATGGGCCTAAAAACTCTCAAGCCCGTCGATTTTGTTTTCGAGGGGGACACAAGTTTGGCATAAAATCACGTTAGCACGTGCAGCCTCCTAAGCGGGGGTGTCACCACCCCCAAAATCTTGAATGGAAAGGAGGGTCGAGTGATACCTTATTTTAAAGGTCTATCAATTCCCTTTATAATGATATAAAATTAATGTACTTCAGTTCAGTAGTTTAGAAGATTTATTGATTTAAAGCTTAAATTAAACTAATACATCATCATTAGTGGAGCTCAATACATTTGACAGCAAAGTAATTTAAATATGAAGGATGAACTGACCCGTTGGGCAAGTAAATGTTGAAAATGGCCACATGACTCTCCATGCAATAATAAAGATTTTTCTCAAAACGTTGCCGCATATTTTGCAATGTTTGAGGAGTAATTTGAAGGCACTCTTTCACAATTCTTTGTCGCAAGACTTCTAATTATGTCTGGCTGAGTAGCATAGATTTTGCTTTTCAAATGACCCCACATAAAGAAATCCAAAGGTGTTTATCGTTTATAATTCGTTTACTCATATCTTCACAAAATTGTAATCGCCGATCAAAATCGTCTTCATTAAATTCTTGTACCAGGTGAATTTTATACGGATGAAAACTATGGGCTTTTAGAATCCGTTGGACATTACGTCGACTAACACCACACAGTCTTCAATTTGCGGGTACTTAACGTAGGATCTACATAAACTTGCCCTAAAACCCCCACTTCTATTGCTTCGTTCCTTATGGGATTTTCAATGTTGCGTTTTTTATTGGCGACTGACCCAGTTTCCCGAAATTTAGCTACAATTTCTAGAACATATTTTCGATGCACGTTACTGCCCTCATGTCGCTCATTAAATATTTCTGCTGTTCTATTAGCGCACTGATTATTTTCGAAAAACATTTCGATAATTTCAACTCTTTCTGCTGCCGAATATACCATGGTTAATTTATGTAATAAAGCGTTACAAGTTATTTTAGCAACAAAGTTTGGTCAAATCAATCGCAAACTATGTACTAAATTCCTATTTAAAATAAGTACGAGATATTTCCTTATCTTTCTTGAAGAAATAACTTTTTTGCCACAAAAAAACGCTTCAATAGCTATTTTCAACAACAAAATGATAAACAAACCATGGGCGTAGTGAAGAAAAGCATTTACTTATTAAGTAAATTCTTTTAGTCAAATTTCTAGTAGTAGTAGCACAAACTAATCTGATGTACCTATTAAAGTCTACTTTAAGCTTTAAATCAATAAATCTTCAAAACAACTGAACTGAAGCTCATGTGTTTTACGTCATTATTAAGGGAATTGAAAGACCTTTAAAATGAGGTATTACTCGACCCCCCTTTCCATTTAAGATTTTAGGGTTGGTGCCACCCCCGCCCAGGGGGCTGCACGTGTTAACGTGATTTTTTGCCAAACTTGTGCCCCCCTCGAAAACAAAATCGACGGGTCTGAGCATTTTTCAAAAAAAAACTGAGCTGCCAGTAAATGCTAAATCTGTTTCGTTTTCGATGCGCCACCCTGTATATATAATAGAAGCAGCCGCGAGTTATCCCTCTATAAGAACCAGAGCCATTGCCCGAAGCATAAACATATCCCATACTTCAGTGCACACAATCCTACGCTCGGAAAACATGCATCCTTACCATGTACAAAAAGTACAAGAATTGCTTCCAAGCGACTATGCAGAACGGGTTGAATTTTGTTAGAATATGTTGAGAAGGTGCGAAGAGGATGAACATTTTTTCGACAGCATCTTGTGGACAGATGAATCCAACTTTAACCGTAATAGAATATTAAACATGCACAATTTCCATTCATGGAGCGTGGAAAATCCACACGCTATTCGCCGACACAGCTTTCAACGTCAGTTCGGCTGGGGTGCTCAACAAAAAGTTAATTGGACCATACACATGAATTACCCGCCGTTGAATGATCAGTCATATCTTGCTTTTCTACAAAGCAGTTTGCATGAGCTGCTGGAAGATGTACCTTTGGACATTCGAAGCCGCATGTATTTTCAATTCGATGGTGCACGGGATGAACGGCATCACTTACACAGTGCGCGTTGGATAGGTAGAGGTGGACACATACGATGGCCTCCAAGGCCACCCGATTTTAATTCTCTAGATTTTTTTATATGAGGGTTTTATAACGAGATAATCTATATACCTGAATATACAAATATCAACCAACGGCGCCAGAAAATTGATGAAGCAAAAATAAAAATTATGAAAAACGCAAATTCATTTCAAATACTAAAGGACAATTTTATTAGAAGGTGTCGCTTGTGTATAGAAGATAATGGAGACCATTTCGAACATGTTCTTTAAAAGTTAGTTCAATTAAATTATCTTCCAAATTTGTTGGCAAATTGCCTTAAAGAGCGGCTAAACACAATAGGTTCTGTACTAAGGATTCTATTGCGTTTCTTACGTTTATCGCATCACAACAACGAATGTGACATGATAAACTCATCGTAGCAAGCTGAAATTTTCAGGGTTTATTCTACATGGATTGAAATAGTTCTTACAATTAAACGAATAATGAAATACAACCTCAATTTTTTTACCGCCCTCCAAAGTTGAGGGATGGTAGAGATTTTTCAGAAAAAAAATTAATTCAAGATCTTTTGCGTTGATTTCTAACAAGCTCCGTTAGAAAGTGACATAACCATTGCTCAACCTAACCATTCAGCTCATCTCAAAAAAATCACAGCCCCAAACCAATGGTTTAGTTGTAGTTCCGATTTAATGTTCATTTTCCGTTTTCATAAAAATTTCACAAAATTGCAAATATCTCCTGAACTATAGGTAGGTACATCTCGTCCTCGGTTGATAAAGGTTGGCTTTGCATCGCCTATAATAGCTAAGAATATTCTACGCAAGAAGAATGATATTTTAAGCCACTCTACCTATAACTCCGTTAAAATTTTGGACGACAAAACACCGTCACAAATGCATGAGCTGCAGCAACTACGTGAGGAGTTGAAACGAAGGCTAACGGCTGGAGAACGCAATATCACGATTAAATATGTCAAGGGTAGACCATCCATTGTCAATATTGTTGCACAGCAATCTTCTGTATCAAAAAACTGCTAACCGAGGTGTCGGTGTGCTACACATTCAGTCACTGGTATCTAAACTTCTCGAAGTGCAAGCATTTGTTGATGGAACCAAACCTTCGTTTCTTTGTCTGACAGAAACCTGGCTCAGCCCTAATATACCTGACTATGTTGTTAATTTGCCTGGTTACTGTTTGTATAGGGAAGATTCCCCTCGCATGCCGGGGTATTGTGGGGTCTGTGTTTATGTACGTACCGAATTCGCTGACAATTTCACATAACTACTACCTCCAAGAGCTTCGATGGTATCGACAGTCTCTTTTTGGAACTAACACGGCCTAACTTCAGTTTTGTATTAGCCTGTATCTACAGACCGCGTCCCTGTGCTGGTGATGTTTATTTGTGTAAATTCATCGAAGAACTTCTAACCAAGAATTCAAACATTCTGTTAACTGGTGATTTCAACTTACGTGACATCAGCTGGCCCATGACAACATTACCAGAATGTAACTCTCCTTCTGCCCCTTATATTGATTTAATGCGTAAGTCGAACATCCTCCAACTCGTAGATCATCCGACGAGATTCAGAGAAGGCCATACTCCCAGAACTCTCGACCTGATATTTGTAAATGATCCTGACTTTGTTTCCAGTCTAGACTACCTACCTCCTTTTGGCAAGTCGGATCACTGTACCTTATTGACCTCACTTCAATTCTATGTACAAACTCCATCACGTAGACATTTCAAAACTGTGAAGCTATTAAACTACAGTGCTCTCAATCGAGCATTGTCTGAAATAAACTGGTCCAACCTGCTTGCACAACGTAGCACTGAAGATATGTGGGATATATTCTCTCGTCGAATCCAACTGGAAGTCACTAGGCATACCGGAATCCGTCAACAGTTTCAAAAACAATTACGATAGACACCGCAGTGCTTAATATATTGTTCCCATTCTGTATATGTCTACTTCAGTAGTGCTAAGATTGTCAAATTGTTATATTTCTTTTGTCTGTACACTATTATCTATTTTTGAGTTTGAGTTTATAGTACTTGTACTCAACTCAAATTTGTTGTTTAATAATAATAATAATATAAAATTTCGGACCACACATATAGGGGTACATTCGATAGGTTTTGAGGCCCTCTATCACCTCGTTGATCCACGACTAACTGTATGTACACCCTGTATGTGTTCGTGCCGATGGCGTCCGCGACCTCGTCCCTCGGGTTGCTATGCAACGAGGTGCTCTCCTTCTAACAAAGGTATTGCACGCTTCTCGCGTTTCTGTCTCCTATTACATTACGACGTTAGTAGTATTTTGTTTCCAGTGCATTTCTTAGCCATATCGTAAAATTGACCATTTCATGAAATGATCGAACACTGTCGCATTTCATGAAATGTATCATTATCTTGTGGTATTAGAAGGCGGCAGCCGATATCTCTTCACTTAAAGAACTTAGGTTGGCTCAATATAGAGAAAAGACGGTTCCTTCATCGATCCGTACTATACCACAAGATACTCAATACTGAATCACCATCCTATCTTTAAAAGATCAAGACCCGTACAGAAGTGCATAGTCGTAACACGAGG